ACTAATTAATTTACTTCAATTTTTTAAAGAAAGAACTTTATTGATTTATTTTGAATATATAATTTAAAATGTTTAATTATTAAATTTTAATTTTTTTTAATAAATTAATTGCATATATTCTTATTTATTTTGTTTTACATTATGATAACCCAAATATTTATTTGTGAGCATTTAATTTAATTTTTTATAATTATAAAAGAATATTTTAGGTATTTTTTTATGTATAAAATATAATATTTATCATTAGAAAATGCAGAAAATAAAGATATATCCAAAGAAAAATAATCTGCCATCCTTTAAAGGTGATTGATGCTGTCAGATATAAGTTGACAACATCAATATTCTCTTTCAATCTCTCTAATGATGACATATTAATTCAAGATATTTTCTGTCAGGAATTAAAACCAGGATTTATTTGACTCGAAAAACTTTATAGCAATATATCTGACACCATTTTACTTCAGTGCTTTCAATATCCTTTTGTAAATAACCCCCTGAAGAATCCAACAAGAGAATTTTGAAGGAGGAGAATTTCGCTAAATTTACACTATTTTAAGGCAAATTTTGATTAAAAATATAATAATTTTGCTTTCTTGTGAACAAGTCTTTGAATTATAACTTATGTTAAACCTTATAAATAAAAAAATATTATATAAAATTGTGTAATTTAGATCAAATTCTAAAAAATTCAATTAATTGGTTTACTAATGAAGTAGATGAGTAGAATTGATCCTGTGCCATTAAAATGACTTGGGGTTGACTACTAATTAACCTCTGTTACCATATTGTCCGAATTTATTATTTAAAGTAATTGTGCGGAAAGAATTAACAGTCACCCCAACGGCACTTATACCATATAATCAATTTTACTCTTCAGCGCTTTTTGAAGTTTTATTTTACTTTTAAAAATTTTTATATTCGCTTTTTCTTCTCCTACGTAAAGTATTTAAATACATTTAACTATGTGGCAGTGCTTTCATGTTTCATTTTCAAATTATATGTAAATATGGCTTAATACAGTATAATTTAATTGGGAAGTTTTATGATAAATATATATATACATGTATTAATCATTGTATGTGTATAAAGTTAGCATCTTTAATGATTTATTTTCTTTCATTACAGGGAGATTTGGATAATTTAGAGAAAAAAGCAGTGTTTTTAACCGTACACGACATTGGTAGCAATCGTAAGTTAATCTTTTTCAAATAATAATTTCTTGTAATAGATACAAAACTGAATCAACGTTCTCGTGCAATAAGGAGAAGGCTTCGCGCTTTGTTAGTAATCAACAAGTGTAGTCACTATCAATGACGTAAATGGATCAATCACGAGTAAATCTCGCTCTAAATGCGGTGTGACTTTTATCACCTAAAGGCAAACGGGAACATATCGTGAACAAGATTCTAAGAAAATCCATAGAAAATGATGCATTTATTCATATCAGATGAAGAGATAGAGGAAGATAAAGAAGTGGAAACGGAATAAAGGAACTTTGTATAGTAATTGGCTCCTGGGAGAGTAAATTACCCATAGACTTTTATGTTTTTTCTTTAATAAAATGTGACATCTCTCCATCTCCTTATTCTGCCAGAACCGATTCACTTTGCTGTAATTTCTTTGAAATTTTAAATATGACACTTGTTCTCTTTTGCCCTTTATTTTATTCATCTATAGTTTTAAATCAGTGTAATTTAATAAATAGATTAAGATAATTCATAAATTTTAAAGTTACAGATGAATAAATAACTTTCAGAAACTTACAATTACAAACCAATATAGGGGAAGGTGGGGCAGGATGAGGACGTTAAGGTTTGAAAAGTCGTAAGATGGCAACCATTTTAATGAGAACGATATTTTTTTTAATTCTTGGCAACTACAACATTTGGTAATATATAATACAAAATTTAATTTTTGAAAAACGTTTTTAAAAACAAGAAAATTTAATATTTTAAAATTACACGTAAACGCGCCATCTTGCCCCACCCGTGGGGTAAGATGGGAATGTTATTTTTATATACAAAAAGGACAAATTAAAATAGTTAAACTGTCGTTTTCTTCAATATTGGCGCAAGAACAATGTGTCCATTTATCACAACGGTTACATTTATTATTATTTTCCGAATAAATAAATATAAAAGTTTGAACTTATTCGTATTTACTTTACCAGACGATACTGTCACTTTGCGCATGCTCAGTTTCGCTATTTTGTAAGCGGACGATATTTTTTTTCGTGAAAAAATTTTTTATTTCCATTGTTATCTCCCATATTATTTCTTGTTAAGATAGTATTTAAATTAAAAAAATGTTTTCATAAAAAAATAAAACGTAAAAACATAAATAATAAAGTAATACAGTATATACTGTATAAATTGATTACAGTTAGATATGATTTGAAAGTGGAATATTTCATTTTCTATAAAAAGATCATTTTTAAAATTATTATTTTATATATTCGAAAAGGTGATATCAATGACAACGAATTTAAAACTAGTTCGCTGCAATATATTGAGGTACCTCTAGCCAGCGGCAGAATTCGTGGCCAACCTTGGACAAGATGGTACGGGCAAGATGGGGTACCCCGTCTTGCCCCCATCATCTTGCCCAAACGTGCACTTTTCATACTGACTGCAAATACGGATCAACTTTATTTCAAAACTAAACAATTTCAGTCTTACAGGTTACTTCGAATACCATAATATCTTCATCTAAAAAGTAATGTAAAAGTTCACAATGATACTTACTGTACTTTGTAGCGGGCGTAAAATTAGACGAAGTATTGCTGAAACGTGGAAAACTGTCTTACTTCCAAACAAAAAGAGCGATTCGGACGTTCTCTCGTCCCGTGATCCCTTTTGAGGTTGACATTTAGTTCCCCAAATAACAGCTAGATGAAAGCGCGTTAACCACGAATAAACAGACGTCCCCGTCTTACCCCATGGCCCCATCTTGCACCATCTTTCCCTATTGCGTCAAGAGTTGAAGTGATTACTCGAACATGATTGCAAGCAGAATGGATCTACATTGTTATTATTTTTCTTCGTTTTTTGCATATAATGTTTTTGATTTCATGCTATTAATCCTGCGTTGATAAAATTATATTTGTTACTAATAAATTTCTGCAAAGTAGATTTGGAATTCTTGTACCACTTAATTGCAATTACCTACAACATTATTCGTACTCATTACAGTATACTGTATAATATTGATCGTAATGCTCATCTTGTATGACGTTATCCTTGTGGCCCTGGAGATGGAGTATGAAATAAGGCCCTTACCTTACATACTGTATTTTCCTTATGTAATTTTACCTCATATACCTCGATAAATCTTTGAATGAAATATATATATATAATTTGTAATGACAATGATTAACGACAGTAAACTTATCAATTAGCTTTACATCCATTCTAATTACGTATCGTTGCATTAAAAATTCGTTCTTTCGAACAAATTGAAATCGATTCATAAGTTTAGTTCGTGAACTAATTACTCAAATTAGTTCACAGATGATCTAGTTCCATTTGTTATTTTGGTTTTTAGTGACATTTTTCAAAAAACTTAATCTTTTTCGTGTAATTAATTTTATTTGCTATTTTCAAAATATCCTTATCGACTAGTTTCGATCGAAGTTCACATCATGAATAATTTTCAAGAATATTACACTTTATAATAATGTCGCCAGAGCATTTTAATGATAAAAATACTCAGAGGTGTCGTTATAAATATTTATCCATCAGTTTTCGTGAATAGCGTGGGGATACGTTGACGAATGAGACACAAGATTTTAAAAATCTATTTTTTCTGGTGTTAAAATGTTATTCAACGCTTGTCATGAAGATGAGCTGATTGGCAACATTTTTTAAAATATTCATTTTTATTCATTACAAATAATAATTTATTTGGATAGTAGATTATAGGGGATGATTCCCAAACCGAGCCTGCCTGTTTTTATTCTTTTTGCCCAGTGGGCTTGTTAAGAGTGGATTTTTAACAAACCCATTGTGGATTCGATTAAGCCCATACGGGCAATCGGGTGGTAAGGGTTGATTGATTTGACAGGATATTGCAACAGTCAGTATCGGGAGAACTTTCTATGGAAAGTTGGTGTTAAACGCGTGAAGAAAACCCAGAAAACTCCACGTGTTCTACCCGTTGTTGAGGCGCAAATCCGCAACCAACTATCATTGTTCAGTGATTTTCTCAACTCGGCCACTGATGGACTGGTGGTGAAGGGCTGGGCCTTGACATATCCGGGATGGACCACCCGAAAAATTCCTGGAGTTTTTCTGTCCGACCAGATTAATTCCTGGATCTCTCGGAGTAGAAGGCTGATGTCTTAACTTCTCAGCCATTCGGCCTGTATTCTATGCTGGTCAAAATGCAGGATCTCTCAGAAACCCCCAAGAATAGCCTCGGTTATACTTCCCTACTCGATACATTAATTTAAAGATAAAAAACCAGCGTTAAAAATCTTAATATATTTCAAATAACTAAACTTGAAAAAAATATATATAAATTTTCCCTCAATACACAAGAAATGCATTGGAATAAATACAGTAGACCCCCTATAATATGGTAGATACGTTCTGTTATATATGAATTCGTGTTTTACGATCACTTAAATACATGAGCCAATCACAGCCCGGCACGTGTGCAGTTTAGGGACTACGGCTGTTTGAAAAGTTTTCTTCCATAAAATTAATCGATTCTAGACTAATTTGACTCAACATTTCCAAAATACGTATAATTTTTTGGGAATAATCCGTATAAACTATGCTATAAACAAAAAATTGTAGGATTACTTACCGAGTGCGCACCGTTCGACGACGCCATTGCTTATGCTTGTTTTCGTCGCGGAGCAGCACACCAAACGGTGGGCGTGTTTTCTGATAAGTTATTTTTCTGCGAAAACTTCGTTGAACTTTGGAGACATCATTAATATAAATATAATTTTTATGGCCGTTAAATAATAAATGGTTTTTAGAAGGTCCGCTGCTCGTTTAAACTCAACGGTTTGTGCAATATGCAGTGTTGGTCTAGATTCGACCAATCCTGTCGCGACACGAGTCGGCGATGACGTTTTACCGTATTATACGAGTCTCTTTTAGCGTGTTTATAGGAATACGGTCGCAATTTTTTCGCCGTTATATACGAATCCGTATTATATGAACCCGTTTTATAGGGGTCTACTGTAATTTGTAACAAATGTTTTTAAGGGCCTTGTGAATGCGAAGTCCTAGCTACATGATTCTTCTGACAATCTGAGAGAGAGCTTTGTTCTTTACCGCGCATTCGTGTACCCATTACAAGTGAATCGTAAAGTGGTAGTTTGCAAATACTAAGGCAAAATACTTCATTACAGCTCAAGATTACTAATAATATCGAAATCGTGTGAGGCCACAATTTTAATGTGCTAGTAACTCACAGAAATGATAGTCCACCAGTAGCCGAGTAGATAAAACCAATGAACTCTGGTAGTTGAGTTGGTCGCGGGTTGGCGCTTGGCCAAAGAGCTGGTCACGTTTGTTACACCTAAATAGAGGCCATTTTCCCATAAAAGAGCTCCCGGAAGGCATTTCCCCCTAGGCAGATCGCCCGTAAGTAGCGTTGTGGTAAATAAATAAATCAAACCAAACTTCACAGAAATTGTATTATTTATTACACACTACTACATAGTTTCCCGTCAAGCATGACAGAAAACTATGTAGTAATGGTCTGGCCTTTTGTCCCAGTCAGGTCGGTCAGATCGCCCTTGTTAATATGTTATCGTAACATGAGGAAAAGGATGAAGTGTATTTGTCTCACCCGCCCCCTAACTAATATACTATGCTCCCATCGAACGCTTATCACTTATTAGACTGACCCGACTGGAAGAACATGGCGGGCCATAATGGTATAGAAGCTTCCATCATTTGTATTCCAAATACAGAACCGTACCAAAAATTCTATAGCTTTGAGAAAGATATTCTTGCTGTCTTTCTGACTTATGAGTAATAAAGACCTTAATATTATTTTGGTTTCTTGAGTGAGACAAGGCAAATTCTGTGTTTTTGAGAAATAAATTATTAGTGAATATTTATTGTGATAATATCATATGGTACATGTGATAAATATATTTTTTTTTTAAATCTGAAAAAGCCATGTTTAATGTCCTAAAAACATTTGTTAAACCAAAGCTGCACTTATCTGGAGGTAATATTCTCTTTCTCTCGATGTTTTTCTTCTTAATTGCAGACGGGGTGAAAGATTTGGAACATAAAAAATGGTAGGAATTGCACTTCTTCCATCCGCTCTTTTAAGTTCAAATTGTGACTCCTCAAAATGTATCTAAAAATTTAGTACCTTACATTACAAAAGTTATTTTAAACACATCGTAAATTTATATTTTCAACATTATTTTATTCAGTAACCTACACAGCCGCGAACTCTCAGTTGGTTTCCATTTATCTCTTCTGCAATATTGACGCCATTTAGCTCTCCTGAATTTTTCAGCGAAAAACGCTCTAGAAACACCGTACACATAACCTGAAAAGGATCCAACATGGCGACTGTCGCGATGCATTACGGGTATCGTGTCTAGACCTTATGTTATGAAGTAGCGCAATCTATGGAGAAAGACCACAAACAGACTTAGGTTATTATATTAAATTAATAATGTTTATCATATTTACTTAGCCTTGTGTTTATAGTGTCGGTGATTGACAACTTGATTAAATATATATAAATTACGCTATATACAATAAATGTGTGTATTTCGTATTATTCGAATAAGCTATTTTCAAAAGGTTATTTATATAATTTTCATTAAATAAAATAAACGTTTTTGCTGTGAAAAGTTTTCAGGGCGCGTACGTAAACAGTGGAAGATTAATAAATGTTTCTGAATTAAATTTTCTAATTTTTCTCGATATTTTTTATATTTTTTTAAATAAAAATGTTTGGAAACAATTATAACAACGAAGAAATTGGCCACTATTACAGAATTTATTATTAAAATATTCTACTACCGCAGTGATGGATCCGAGATCGAATATCGATCCGGATTCTAGTGATTTGTAGAAGATAGTTCTTATCCAGACATCGATCCTTGCTTGTAATGGACTGACACGGACCCCAAAAAGGGAGCAAACACGTGTGACTAAGCTAGGGGATAAGTGTAGGTTTAGTAAATCAAAAACTGGATGGCCGATTCAATGAAGACATCAGTCTGCCGCTTGTAGGGTCCGAGTTGGAACTCGGGTTCAGAAATACTTGCTCACATTCTTATTACTAGGCCGTCCCTTTGTGGACTCGACCCATTCCATCAAGCGTAAAAAAAACCCTTCTTAGTGTCCAAGTGGCGGAAAGAGCTTTAAAAGATAATAAATTGCTTGAGCTAACTTCAAAAGTATTTATAAAAATGCATAAACCTAATTCTCAATGAGGTTCAGGCTCAACAATGGCCGAGCAGATAAGACCACTGAACAGTAGTTGATTGCAAAATTAACTACCGTTGTTCAGTGATCTTATCTACTTGTTCTTATCTCCAAGTTCATACTTGGAGTTTTCCGAGTTTTCTTTACGGGTGAAATAAGAGCCAGTTTCGCGTAGAAATTTCTCCCGGGAGGCAGATCGCCCAAGGTCTGCTTTGAATTACTTCATAACCAGACCAATTTTGATACTTTATATAACAAAATTGGTAGAATCATATCGCCCGGAATAACACTACAACTTAGGTTCGGCACAACACCGCTCAAAGCTTGCCATCCCCTGATAGAGCTCAAAATTCGTCAGATTGTTTGGTATTACTAATATATCGGATTTAGTTTGTTGTTATATGTATATAAAGTATTATTTTTCTCGGGAAAATTGATATAAGTATAAAATATTTGTAAATTTTTAGAGTAATGATCTGAAATTTCGCATTATAACTTCATTTTTTAATACAAAAGAAATTTTAAAAATCGACAGAGCCATACTATATTATTAAAAAATATATTTTTTAATTATTAAAATAAAATTATAACGTTTTTACCGTAGACTCTGCTTTTCACGAATTCGTAAATCTCCCTTGCATGACCGAGATAAAGCAAAGATCTGTTTTTGTCCATGTTGACATCCCTGGTCAAGAGGATCACGCACCAGATCTACCCAATGAGTAAGTCAAGTGAATTATTAATAGTTTATTTATTTATTTTTTACTTTTAAATTAAATTAATTGTTTTTTATTGTTTATTTTATCATACTTAATGAATTATTCATTAAGAAACAGAACATTCATATTAATCATCTTTAAATTAAAAATGAATTTATTTAATTTTCTCAACCAATCAGCGCCAATAGAATCATTACGTCAATTAAAACTTTTTAGACGTTTCATCGTAACGTATTTAACAGAGATCCACCAAAGTTTATAAAAACTTCATTTTAATTATTTCCTTCATTATTTAAAAAAAAAATATTAATTAGATAATTTACTAAACACAACAAGTAAATAAATTTTCCATAAATACAATAATTATTTATTAATCTAATTTATCTAAATTCAACTTATAAATTAACGAGACATAATTATAAGTTATGTCGTAAATTAAATTATGAGTTCTAACAAACGCGTGTAAACATACGTGGTGGCCCAAAAATCAGTTGACTGAGTGAATTAGGACTTATGAATGGTAAATTAAATTTGTTCAAGTGTTTTGATTCATGTATAGAATAAGCAGGAATTCTTCCTTCATGTTTCTTTCTTCGTTCTTTATGCTTGTTTTCGAGGACGGATACTTTATAAAGTTTACATATAATAAAATATTTTAATAAGCCAATGGGTGCTTTGCTTGGTAAAGCAGCTTTAATACAGCTGGATAAAAACAATCAATGACATGTTCATTTTCATTTGAAACAAACTATGCTATTGGCTTGGCTATCCAGCTAAGTTAAAACTGCTTTACCAGGCAACGCACTCAGTAATTTAATATTTACAAATGTTAATTAAATTTTGGGACCACCCTGCATATTTTATATATATATATATATATGTATATATATATATATATATTAAATGTGATGTTAAAAACAATATTTAGACTTGTGTGCTAAGAAATATTTTTAAGTTATCAGGGTAGAAAAATACGAAAATACTGAAGAGCTTTTTACATTATTTTCATTAAATTACACTATACAGGGTATCTCAAAAGTAGGCATATCGGTTAACTGACTTTTGGATGTATTTTTATAATAACCTCATGCTGAGTGTTGCGTATGTATATTTCTGTTTTCAACATGACATAATCAAAGGAAATGATTTAAAATGTAGAAAATTACCCAAAATTTTAAGAAATTTATAACGTTATTTTAAATATAAATTATTTTTTAATAAAATATTTATCATTTGCAATGATATTTTCTATTTCCGGAATGGAAATGGAAAATATTTATCTTTAACCATTTATATTCAATAATTTTGTAAATAATAAATAAAAAAAACATTAAATTATTAAACAGGGAGCTTATATTTATTAAAAATATTTATTATTAATCATAAATTTAGTTATTTTGTGAATTATTAAGCCATATTAAACAAAAAATATTGTCATTATCATAAAATTTTAATGAAATTTTTTAGATATTTTTAGTAAGAAATTTAATGTAAAGTCAATTTTATTAAAACTTTAAGTTAATTTTAATATATTTAAATAATTTTATATCAATTTATGAGTGGATCGAGTGAATCAGAAATGTAAGAGCAGTAGAAGGAGATAATATTAAATTACAGAAATGTATTGAGTTATATGTTAATTATAAGTTTTACACGTGAAATGATTAAAAGTTATTGAATATAAATTATAAAATGTAACGTTAGAAATTAATTTCTAATATTTTTATTCTGGATAAAGATTGATGTTTACAAATAAATACAATAGCCGGCACGTCGCTACTGCTCTGGGAGATCCAGGATCGTATCAGAACAGACGAAAAATCTCAGAAATTTTTTAGAGAATACGTCGGACCTCATCCCTCAACAATTGGCCACTCCATTGTGGGCCTGGCCGAACACAAACCCACGATGGGTCTAAATAACGACCCTCTTAGCGTATACAAGGCAAGAAAGGGGAAACATACAAAATTACGCCTCGTATAAAATGAATGATAAAGAAATTTGCTTTAGAAACAATAAATTTAATTTATTATATGACTGGTTATTAAATAAATTGTCCAAAAACCTTTTTAGTCCTTTATAATAAGCCAAAGCCTTGTTATCCTCGTATTTATCATTCCCGCCTTTAAATTTAAATTTCAAAGAAAATCGAATAATAAAATTTAAAATAAAGATTTACGAGTAACTTTCAGGTGGAATGAAATTTCCTAAAATTTTATTCTATTAAATTTTAGGAAATTTCAGAGTTACTTTCGAAGATTCTCTATCTTACTATCGTTTTATGATCACCAGCCTCTCTCTATCACTCTTTTAGCTTTCATTTTTTCTTCTTCTTTTGCTACTTTCTGTTTCTTTCCTTTTACTCTTTCATTTCTTACAGTAATATTTTTGCTGATTTTTGTCACTAAATCAATACTTTTATCGAGAAATGAATCGAGAAATGAATATGAAAAATATTCATTTCTCGATTTATTTCTTTATTTTATTGATCCAGTTTTGTATTCTGAGCTAAGAGAGTAAGAAAGTAACCTATAGTTCGGCCTGTTATATAAATGTACCATTGGGAATATGTACCATTTCTAGAATATGATGACTTTGCCTTTCGACTATTGGGAAAATTACGTTAATTAATAATGATTTTCCAATTTTGCCTGCACTGTGCACTACAGTTACAGGCAAATGGAAGAATTTACAGTATTAATGAATTAAATTGGAAGTCTGTTTTATTAACTGCTCTATTGTTAAATTAATAAAGTGTTTAAGCTATAAAAACTGGCAAATATCTTATTAAAAATTTAGAATTATCTGGGTATGTTGATAGTAAAAAAATAATAAAGAATATCGAAAAATTGCTTAAAAATCGGAGTTTTATTTGAATGAAGGGCGCAAGATGGCGCCACAGACTATATCGTGCAGCAGTAGCGACATCGTTGACAGGCGGAGAGATCGATTCGTTTATAGAGAAACAGTGATTAATTAATACACGATTGCATACTAAAATGATCCCTTTTCCTATATGACTTTTGAGTTACCCTGTATCTCTCGAAACAAAAAATTAAATTAATCGGAAGCATTTTCTAAAATATTAACTAATTTGTAACCTTATTTTACAGTTTTGTGTTTCCAACAATACAAGTTCTGGGAGAAGATCTAGTATGTGTGTTAGATCAGCTTAAGTAAGTATTTTAATTTTGTATACACAAAATATATTATCATTAAGAGGCTAAAGTATTATATGAATAAAATTTAAAATACACACTGCTAAATTAATTTTGCTACTTACCTATTTGCTACATGATGGTCTACCCCCTTGTGGGTCGGATTCAACTATACGACCCACAATGGGTTAGAACAGCGTGGATGAACAGTTCGAAACCAGCTTCTTCACAGAGTATCACGTGGCCATCTGGCCGACATTTGTTTTGGATATTCTGTACTTCTCACTGTCAACAAAGAAATGATGAATTGCTTTATTCAGTTCTTCAAAGTTTTGATATAAGAAATGAATTCTTATATTAAAACTTTAAAATAATGAAAATGTTTTCTAATAATATATATACAGGGTGGCCTAAAAGTCAATAAATAAAAGTCTTTTACTTTAAGCGGTTAAGTTTCTACTAAAAAAAGTTACAAGAATCGTTTCAAATAAAATCTTCCATCTTCAATAAGTGAAATCCTCTTGTTCAATTTAAAGCATCCAAATTACATTGCCTTGAATTTTCAGTTGTCTAGATCTTGGTTAACTGAATTATGGGCCATCCTGTACAACGAATTTCGCTTATAATAATTAAACTTATTAAATTATTACACTTTCTTCCAGAATAAAATTGGTCGTGGGTTTCGGAGAAGGAGCAGGTGCTAACGTGCTAGTTAGGTTTGCTGTAAGTAGGATAAATTGCAAATATTATTGCAACTTATTGTAATATTTAAGAATTTATAATAAAAGTAGGCTGTTCTAGTTAAATATATAAGAAAAAGTTTTAAAACTAAAACATTGTAATATCTTATTTTAAAAACAGTAAACTGTATAAGACGAAATAATGTATATATTTCTATAGTATTTCTTTTATTCCTTTACGCCACAGGAGTGTTGTATTTAATTGCATTTCTTATATATTTATTGATCAATTTTTGTGTGAAATATCAATTATTTTATTTTTAGTTGGCTCACCCTTCTAGAGTATTGGGTCTTGTACTTATTCATTGCGTTGCAACTGGAGTTGGCATGATGGAATACGTCAAAGATAAGGTGCCATTTTCTTTTACTTTCTGACATTTATATAAGGTATGCCACGAATAATTGTCCATAGGAGAGTCATATTGGAAAGTTCGTGCCGTTTGTGAGCATTGTGCTGGGTTTTGCACATGAATACAGGAAAGTTTCGGTTAAATCGTTAATGCCAGAATTTAGTGTTGACTATTAAGAAAACGAAACCGAGTAATTCAAAAATCATTAAATTAAATGAAATTATTGACTTATTTGAGTACAGGATTTACTACTAACAGTTCGAACATAAGTTGTAATGAAATTTAAATCTGTAAACCTGTAAATTAAATTCTTGTAATTTGTATTACTCTTAGCCTAATTGTTCCCAGTATTTCCCATGTCATTACACTTTAATTGTTCATAGTATCAGTATCAGGTATTAAGCCCATGTCAGAAAAGATACAATCCACAATGGAGTTCAAGAAACCAACAATGACTAAAGAACTCCAGAGATTTCTAGAGTTATTAAATTAATATCAGTAGAATATACCACGAGCAACATAAACCAAATCACATTTAACGAAATATTAGAGAAATGTCCAAGCAAAGAAGAGACATCGTCAACTAGGCGATGAAATAAGAGATGAACAATAGACAAAATATAATTTTTTTTATTGGGTTTCTACAATTTAATTGTAAAAAATTGTAGACTTATAAATTATCACATGTACCTATGCCATTTGTATTAGTATTACATAGAATTTGTATTACCGAGAATTTGGACAGTTATTCGTGGCGCACCCCGTATAATTTTATGATGAAGTCTTTTAAAATGCTTTCTTTATGTCGAATTTTTACAGATTATGAATTGGAAATTACAAAATCAAGGAATGCATCCTTCAGCAGAGCAGTATTTAGTACTACATAAGTTTGGAGCGGTAAATAAAAATAAGTTTTCTGTTTTAAATAAAACTTATTTTAATTTCTTAAAAATTAAAAAAAAAAATTCAATTTACATTTTAAAAAAAAGTAAAAGTAAAATAATGATAATTATAATAATACTTAAATAAAGTTTTTAAATATTATTTAAAAATAAAGTACAAAATTTTAAAACTTTAATGATTTTACAATTTAAAAGAAAAATGATTAAAATTTAATTATTTTATTAAGTTGATCTTATTAGTTTAGTATTTATCAGTGATCAAGAAAGGTAAGTCGAATATCTGAAGATGATAACGTTAGAAGTAATGATGATAAATTTCAAAAAAATTTGCTATAATAAGACAAAAAAAATATGAATTCTAAGGCTGACTTGATGATTCACTTTTTGGGTAATGTTTTGTGGAAGATTTTTCTGTCTGCTTGTATTGTATCCTTGTTTTTTTTTCTCTTTCTCTCCATGTCTCTCCTAAACGTCCGTCATCTGCGGAACAAAGGAGGTAATAAAGTCAACTCTTAGATGCATGAAAATGTTCTTTGTATACTATAACACTCGTTGCACTTTTATGTTTCTTATTTTATAATTTCTTTAATGTTATTCTGTAATCAGAAAAAAAAATCTTGAATGCTTATTACTTTTTCTTTTAAGTAATTCACTGTTAGCAAAGTTATATTTATTACTTTCTTGTTGTAAATAAGATTTTCACAATACAAGATGGTCTTAAATTCTTTTAGATTGCAGAGGATTTGAGAATTGTATAATGAGTGATTACGTGAAAATCCAGTAAAAGTATGATAAAGTGAATAATAATAATTTGTGTTTGTGTCAATAAGAAAAGTTGTGTTTTCTTCTTCTTTTCATTAGTGGCAAAACCAGTGGCCGAGTGGACATAACTGCTGAATATTGGTAATTGGTCGTGGGTGTGAACGATGTTACAACATAGAAAAATAACAGAAGATTTGAAAAAATATAAGAGCAAACGAATTGAAAAGTTTCACGAATGTTCTACAATGTTTTGTTATCAAAGAAAGTAATTGTAAAGTTACGAAGAGTTTTTTTCTACTCTTCCGCCCTGTATGCATTAAGAAGGCCTTTTATTCAATGCCACAGTGGGTTCGCTAGGCCCCTTAATGGAGGAGGCCGAGTGGTGAGATACGGGGCCCGACGACCCCCCAAAATTCCTGGGGTTTTTCAACTACGTCCGGATCGGATTCCACATTCCCCAGATCGGTAGGCTGACACCTTGCCGCCTCGACCATCCGGTAAAATTGTGGAAGTTTATAAATTGTAGTGGAAATTTCTAATGTTTTTTGGGTGTATAAATGGCACTTCTGTGCTATAGCCTAAAAGCGTATAAATCCTATATTGTACGTAAATTATATTTTGTACTCGCTCAGTTTTTCCTTACTCTACGCTAGTACAATAGTAGTACATTAATAGATTATGTTATTAAAAAATAATGTGTTTATATAAAACACCACACTAAAAATCCCATACAACAGCTTCTTTTCTTTTATTCTTTCCTCTTTTTAGATACAAAGAGGGCCCTTTTTCAAGTCCGTGGGTTCGGCCATACCTACAATGGCCGAAAGTGATGGCTGGGTCCGACATATCGAAGACACGAAAGATTCCTAGGGTTTTTAGGCCACCCGGATTCGGTTCCGGATCTCCAGACTGATGTCTTACCACCTGTCTTCCGGCCGTCATACGTCATTCTGATCGGCAAACTTGATTTGTATCAATCAGCAGTACTTATACAGCGCCATTTTAAATTCTGGCGATGGAAATGCAAACTATTATTTTAACCCGCCATCTTTTGCTGCATATTTTTTTGCCAGATTTTTGGGAGTTTTACGTATTTCACTCATTATAAGGTTCACTAAGTGTCATGGAAAAGAGACATTTTAATTGAGACCAACTTGTATTCCTCTCCACTTTACTATTTATAGTAGTTGCAATGATTATATCTTCATTTCCATTTCCCATCTTTTCAATAGTAATTTTACCGAAGAAATTTAATATTGAAAACGTTTAATTCATTAAAAATCTAATTATTCTTTAATTCATTAAACATAATTAAATAACTTTCAACTTAAGATTTATCTATAATTTTTAAATTAAAATGAGTCATAAGAAAAATTCATCGTAAATTAATGTTTTTAATTGTCATGTCAAACGATTTTAATTAAAATATCAAGTGTTTTGTTAAAAACAAAAAAGTTTCTTTTTATAAAATAGCAACTAGAATTGGTGGATAATAAGGAGAAATTGATTCAGGATTATACAGAAAAATTAAAAAAACGAATTAATCCTAGAAATTTAAGAAGATACGTTGAAGCTTACATGAAGTAAAATTATTTCTATATTTATTTGTAATATGACAGTATAAAATTGACGTTTTGATATGATTTTTTTAATGTTTTCTCTTCCAGTCGTAAAGATATTATGGGTTTAATCGAAGCTCATTTAAGGTAAGGAATCCATGTAAAATTCTTTTACTTTATGGTTAAAATATGTAAAATTCGTATACAATAAAACCTCCTTAAGTCGAACTGCGCTAACTCGAAGCCGTCTACAAGTCCCTGGCACAATATATAGGATTTTCATATTATAATCTTAACTCGAACCCGTTTTTCCGTGTATCCTTCGCCCTTTAATAGGTCCGTGATCCTCATTTTCTATTATGTTTCGTGTGAACACATATGCTTAAGATGAACAAAGACTACAGTAGTATATTAAGCCCTACAAGTACTGTATACGATAGTACTTGCAGTGGCTTAGCTTTGGCATACCGTATTGAGTAGTTTGGGACCGACAGGATTTTCTTGGGTGCTAGTGGTCTCTAGAACTTCAATGAAGGGTGAGGCAGCTACTCCAATGGAATTCTTCATTATGTGGAAGTTGTAGGACAGGTTGAAGAAATTGTAAATAGTTTTATGAGTCTTCAGAAGGGCAGGGTTCTAGACGTGTTGGTGAAAAATGGTCATTGCGGTGCTTATGATCTATCCACACAATCTATATTAATTTATTGTACCGTCATTGTATATTTTATACGTCTGCATACAAATTTCGGTGTCAAGTCCGTGCTCTGAATAGGGAAACTTTAATTATAACCATCCTGTATATTAATTTCCCATTTGTCTTTCAGAGAGATGGATGTGTTGCTGGTATCGGGAAGTAAAGCAGCACACGCTCAATCGGTACAGTTTATGTATGGCCGAATGGACAAGAAAAAAACTTCAATGCTAAAAGTAGATAGTGTCGGTGACGTGTTAGCCGAAGCTGTAAGTTTAAATCTTTAAAAAATAAATAAATAATTCAATATTGATTTAATAAATAATCATCGTTATCATTATTAAACACTATTTTCAGCCCGATAAACTAGCACAAAGTTTGTTACTCTTCGTCAAAGGTCTTGGTTTCTGTGAGCATCAACATCTCATATTTTAATTTTTGCATTCGATTTATTTAATAAACTCAAAATTATTTTAATTTTTTAGTAACTTCGGTGACATTACCGGGGGTCGAAAGGCAGAAAACCCACCCTCCAGTCCATCCAAAATCATTGGGTGCAGTAGGAAGAAGGAGAACCTTATCCATGGAAGATTATGACATGCCCAGATTGAGGAGAACATCTCTTACAGCAAACCAAAAATAAAACAGGAATATTTTGGACTTTTTTTTAAAGAAAAAAAAAGGAAATTTTGTTTAGAATATTACCCCTTATTACTTTAAAAAAATGAAAAAAAAAATTGAGAGAAATTAAACTTCAGGAACACATTATTTAAAATGGGGAGTATGCAGAAATACTTTAAATTATCAAGAAAAAAAATTCTTAATTATATAATTTAATTTGCAAAATATATTATTTTGATAGTTTCCTTTGTAAATATGGTGCTGATTTTTAAAAAAAATTAAATATTCTTTAATTTATGTAAGATTGAAAGGGTTGTTATATGAGAATGATCAGCTTCTGTTAGCCATTATTTGTTTCTTTATTCATTCATTTTTAGTCATCATCTCATAAAAATCAAGTAAAATTATACTTAAAATAAGAAAAACTTAAAATTATATTATTATTATTATTATATAATAAGAATGAAATAAGGAAGTTACATACTTTATTGTTCTTAATATTTTTTGCTTTTAAAAATAATTTATATATACTGTACTGTACATATTTCAGTGGTTGATCACAGATTTTATTGGAGCAGAAAATTATATTTTACAAAATAAATATTAAGGAAGATATAAGAAAACAAAGTTCTATTATAACAAAATGCAATGAATTTCTCGATAATGGAACTAATGGAAACTATCGAATTATTTAGATAGCTTACATCATAAACTATTGATTCGAATAAGACGAATAAACTTCTCATTACTAGAATGATATTCCCATCTTTGGAAGAATTGGATATTCCTTTTAATGACACACATGTGGATTTCTAAGTAACTGAATAGAAGTGTATCGTTAGATACCAATTTGATGTGATTAGCAACTTATAGAGTTAGAAAAAGCATTATTTTATGTAGCAACAATTTTTGTTTTATGTACTACATATCAAACAAATCACTATATTATTTTGTGCACTCTTAAATCAAATAATTTCACCTTTTTCTAATAACAATTTTTAATTACGTTATGAATAACTGTTAAAAGAGGAATTCAATAAAAAGTAAACTTACTGTTGACAGTAAATAAATCTTTTGTGTATTTATTGCATGCGTGAATTTAATTTTCATTTTACACTTTCATTTTTTATCATTTTGTTTAATTTCAATTATAAAGCAATAATTGTAACAAATATGAGCACATTATCGTTTTACTTACAACATAATTGAGATATTTATTTAAATTATATTTATTTATTTTTACGTAACTTTTTANCAAAAATTAATGATTTATCACACAAAAAATACAAAAAAAATTACAAAAAATCAGTAATTAGATATATAAAAAAAAATAAATGGTTAGTGAAGTTGTAAAATTTTTGCTTGCAGCCTTTTTTTGATGCAAAATTGTGTAAAATTATGCAGATTTATTGTACAGTTTTAACGTCCATTAACCATTTTTAAAAAAGAAAACACGTATTTTAATTAATTAATTAATTTTTCTTTTATTTCCAATGCAAACTTGATAGTAATTTTAGTAGAGAAAATTATATAAAAAAAAAAACAAAGGAAAAAACTGAAAGCAACTTTTGTATATGATTATACAGTTTAATATAGAGGTTTTGTGAAAAGTACATACAGACATACATACAAACAGAAGAAAAAAAAGCATATGTATACATTATATAGATCAAAGTTAATGTTTTATATAACTTGGCCAAAATGTTTGGTTTGCATTGCTTTAATATAGTCGCGAGTTGTATAACTTAGCATAGTTGTTCACTGAATATCATTAATTAAAGATGTTGTTGTGATATGGTTATTGTTATGTAAATTGATAATAAATATATATATATATACATATACATAAACATATATTAATGTATAAATAAATATAATATTGTGAAATATTTCTGTACATGTTGGTGAAGTTGTTGATATGAATGTTGATCAAAGTGTATTTAGATAATTTTAACATTTGTATTAGTAAAGATAATAAAAAAAAATCATGTAAGTGACATATATCTGTATTGTCTGTATTCTTATAGAATATCCTTCAGTGAATAAAGCCACTACGCCTCACCACGTGGTGTTTTCCGGATTTTATTCACGCGACTAACACCTAAATAGAGGTCTGTATCCTGTTTTATAAAGCATTTTGTTTTAGTTACGACAGAGCTGGATTTAAGCATAAGATACACTAGCTACAATTAGGGGCCTCGTGTTTATTACTTGCTGGAGAGGCGAGAGCATCTTATGTTATAAATTATATTAAAAATTAGGGTTCCAAATCTGGTCTTGATATATACGATAGATTCCGCTTAATTGGTTAAACGATCTAATTCCAATATGGTTTAATTAAGTGGAAATCTACTATAGTACGATGTAAACTCTACAGCTTTGTTTGTGTTATATGGCTTTAAAATTGTATTTTCTGACAATTTTACGTACATTTTACGAATTTAATTACTTCAAGGTAATTTGGAAATGGCCAGAGATTATTACTCCCAACAGTCAGCGTGTCGACGTCTTTCGGCTCTGGAAATCTCTGATGTCCATTGTGATACAGATAGTATTTTTTCCCCGTTTACTGGTATTAGAAATTCGATACTATCAATACTATATCATAAAAAATCACTTGGAAAATTGCGCTATTTAATACAGTAATACACCGAAGTTACGCGATAGGTGAGTCCGACGAAAATCGCTTAAGTCGAATTCGCGTAAATCGGGGTACAACTTTGTATATAAATACATATAAACTTTGTTTTATTGGAACCAAGGACTAACAAAAACACTAGAAGAAGAATATTTAATAAAATTGCAGTACTTTAAAGATATTAATACAAAATATTAAAAAAATAATAATAAATGAGTTATGTAAAAAAGTTATTTCGATGTCAATAGCTTCGTAAAATTTAACAAATTGATCCGAGACCTTCTGTCAAGCTTGCAATTGTTATGTGCTTTTCTGGTAGAACTGGTGGGATGCTTCAGTGACGTTTTGCTCACGCATCTTTATGAGCTCATAAATTGTCAGCTCTTATGTGAATCCAACAGTTGGTTGATATCATCACTATTAACTTCCAAATGTAATTGCCTGGCAAGATTAACAACTTCTATCACATGAGCGACATGATCAGTTTCTGGCGTTGTTTTTGAGGGGGGGGGGAAATGGACAAAGTTTCTTCCAGACATCATTCAATATTTTTGTTAGAAATTTCATCCCAAGATTTTTCAATGATTCTTACAGCATCTAAAACATTGAATTGTTTCCAAAAGTCTTTAACAGAAAAGCTCGTGTAGTAAGCCTTGAATGTTTTGATGAATCCCTGGACCCTCAGTTGAAGCAAGCTGGTTGTTTGGGGGCAAAAACACAACTTTCACACGTGAGTCGAAATTAATTAGGGTGGCAGGAGGATAACCAGGTGCATTGTCAACGAAAAGCATCACTTTAAATGGAATCTGTTTAGACTTGCAATAACGTTCGACTTCGTGTATGAAGTGGTACCAAACCAGGTCTTAAAAACGGAAGCTGTCACCCACCCTCAATGGTATGGCAGCTCTCCAGCTTTTTTTAACCTCTCAAAAATCAGCTTAGCTTGATAGCGCAGTGTTCGACTGGACAATTCTTCACTTTTACTTGATTATCACACCACAATTTCAGCATTGTTTCCTTCTCAGCAATAATACCACGACGTTTAAAAATTCTTGATACAAAAATGTCCCTAGAACGGGTGGAAAACCTTTTTCAGTCCGCGTGCCATATATTGAGAATAATTATCTTTAAAATTATGTTGAGACGGCAAAAAGGGTGGCACGTTGGAATCATCAACTGGCACATAACGTGTCATACGATTACGATTTAACGCATAAATATTTTTAAAGATAACTATGCTCACTATATGGCACGTGGACTGAAAAAGGTTTTCCACCCGTTCTAGGGACATTTTTGCAATTTCCCCATAGGGAGCTCTGCGATTTTAGATGGTTAATGTCTGGCAACGAGGACTTATAAGCATTGTTTCGTGAAGCTAAGACTTTGTTTTTGGAGAGGAGAGGTTTTTTTTAACTGCGGACTTCATCAATACCCGTGTGCTGCAGGACCAATTTCCAGATAGAAGGTTAACAACGCGTACTAATAACACAGAGAGTGACGCCAGGGCGGATACAACCCTTTCCTCCGAGAGAAACCATTGAAGAAGTCACTCCGTTAAATCTACAAACACGTAACCGTAATAGCAACGAGCTACTCCACCGACTCCTCACAAAGGACGCAGAGACAATCTTGCTACCACGTACGACACCACTCCAACAGTACTTGTCCTAAAGGACACACCACGAACAACTCACCACCAACGATATCACCCGGTGGTTAATAAACCAGAATATCACTCTTCCCACCCGCATCTGCGTCATTCAACCGACAACACCCGACTAGAAAATAGACGGCAAGCAACTACACAAACATCTAAAACATCATCATCCTAACATCCACATTGTTCATCAGCCAATTCCTTTTGTGGGCACTTTATGCAAAGCCCATCTCTTCAGAACTCGTGGCCTCCTTTTACCAATTGTTCCCCAACCTACCTTATGTAGGTTGTTATGTAATGATACGGACAGTGTTGCCGTATATGAAAAATTGGGGGTTTATGCAATTCCGTTGCGGCAGCCATTATCGGAAATAACATTAATGTACAGTACATTGGAGCCACGTCCAGAATGTTGCAAGTTCGGGTAGCAGAACATCAATAGGATATTGCCAATAATAAACTCACAACTGAGCTTTCAAAAAGAGTATTAGGGTATGGCTACGTGCCCCTTTGGGCTAATACTAGATTACTGAGACGGTGCTACGACAAAAGAACATTATTCTTATGAGAAAATCTTTATATCGCGTCGTTTTCACTCTGCAATACCCCTACCATCGATGTTCCGCATTTTTGGATAGAATTTTTTAAACAATTCACACTGTAGCTGCTCTAAAGATCTTTACGCTTGGGGATTTAATTTTCGTTGATAATTTCGCGTGCATTTCACTTTTATTTGCCTGGCTGTTTTATATAACAGAGGGAAAATATGGCCATCAATCAAGAAATGACCCCCCCAAGATTTTTACATTGTTGGGTTTAGGACACCTTGAAACTTCGATAAATGCAAAAATTTCGGGAGTAATTTCTGTATGTATGATTGTTTGTGTACGCGCGCGTGGCGCGATTTTGTTCACCCTGTTTGAAGCTTAATAGCGAGGTTGAGGCCGAAGTTTTAAACGCGAAAAAGTGTACGTCGGACGTACAGCGCCGCTTTCCTGTAACCTAGAAGTTTGACAATGGTGTTTGGAATGTCGAGCATGATTCCACTGACTATCCAAACACCATTGTCAAACTTGTAGGCTTACAAGAAAGCGGCGCTGAACGTCCGACGTACACGTTTTCGCGTTTCGGCCTCAACCTCGCTATTAACTCCTGAAGTTTTTGTCGAAAATTTCCAAATTTTGCAAGGAAGTTTGTATATTAGGGAATCGATACTACTAAATTTTGACGATTAAAAGACGAGGGGGTAGGGAGATAAAGGGGGTCACGTATATCTCCATTAGGATCGGACTTAATGACGATTTTACTCCTTACCAGCATTTACAATTTTTATAAAACTCATCACTACTCTCAAAATTAAGCTTTTTGCATTTTTTATATTGATTTTTTTGTTTTTTGATAAAATCTTGTGACAGCAATTTTGTCATGAAAGTTACACAACTCATTGTTAGAAGTTTTAAAGCTTAAGTGTTATTTCTTCAACTATTCATTCTGCAAATATTTAAAGAACTTTCCAGCAGAGTCACAAATTTTTTTGTAACATTTCTGACCTATGTTTTCTCCTTTGGAATTAAATAACATTAATTTATATCAACATTAACCAATAACACCATAATATGGTCAGTATTTTATTAGCTTTAGCTTTTGTTCTTGAACATGAATTGAGTAGGGTTGACAACTGTATAATTTCGCTTCCTTTTTTACAATTGTTCAGAAATGTTGTAAATAACTGATGAGAAGTTGTGTGTGTGTTTTTTTTAAATTGTCCTTTTTCCTTTCAGAATTTGTTACTCTGAGAGCTGACGACCCAATTGTGATAAATGACAAAACAGAGCTTTTGCATCTCTTTCCTGGGGCAGAACATACTGGGAAAATTGAATAAAGATCTATAAAATAAGTTAGTGAAAAACAATTATTTTTGTACAGTAAAATGCTCGTTTCAATTAACAGTTAACTATATGCAGGTATAACCAGAATTTCTGATAGAATTCCAATAATTTTATATATGCATTCTTAAGGTACCCTGCTCTCAAATATAGTTCTATATCTTTTTTATGGAAGAGAATTTCAGAAATTTTTTGTATTTTCTTAAACATAATAATAGTATACAGTATTTTATTTCACTATTATTATATACACTATCGAAGTTAAAAAACAAAAACTGTAGAACAACAGAATGTAAAGTTTATACCTTAAATTCTATAGGTTTATATCAGTGGCACAATGTGATTCGACCAAACTGGAGCCCAGAGTCGATGAGGTGCGAATACATTGAGCAAGAAGCCTACGACCCACAATCAGAATAATTGTTCTGATTGTAGGTCATACACAAAACAAGATAAAAAACAAGTAGCCCTTTTTTTTTAATCTTGTTTTGTATCATGTCCTCAAAGTTTCAGCCTTCTTACAATGCATTTTAATAATAATGTAGGGAAGTGGCCCTACCAATGCTGTACTTCCTGCCCAAAACTCAATAAACACTTTTACATTTAGTTAAAGTATGTGTTAATACACTATAGTGATTTGTAGTATGGTGGGTGTGGTGTCACCATATATCATCACTCCTAAACTTAAATTTTTAAAACAAAAGAATTTTGAAATTATTTATTGATAAATTTTAAATATTTTTTGATGTATAATATTACTTTTTAATAGTTACTGCATCTTTTCAAAAAACTATATAGGATTAAATAAGAAATAACAAAAGACATCCAGTATATCATAGTTAAATCTGTCATGCAGAGAATATTGTACTTTATGTTAATGATAGCTTAATACAACAGAGAAAAGCTAGAATTACACATTGCCGTAACATTCTGAATCTTGAAAATTTCTGTTTTAGTAGTCTGGACATTGGACATTGTTGATCTGAAAGTGGAAGTGAAAATTCCAAAAAGCTCTTAATCTGAATAAATAAACTGACTTCTTAAACCTTCTCAAGTTTCTAACAACTGTGATTATGATAACTGAATTTTTATAAATTTTTATGCATGAAAAACACTATTTTGTTCAGTTGATTTAGCAGTAGTGTATGCCACAATGCAGGTTGGAACCCAATTTTAAAATGAATGTTTGCATTTCATGGAATTATAAGGATGCTGTTAGAAGGTACTGTATGTATGGTGTCTTACAGTTTTGCAAAACTGTGAGACGCAGGAATAAATACAAGAATACCAAAGCTTTAAACATTAAAATTATGCTTCAAAATATATTTATTCAACAAATTATACATAGGAATGTAACATTATGCATATTTTGATTTTATCATTTTTTTTTTCATTTGGTCCAATCAATACAACATTATTGTACATTTATGTACGAATGCAACAATTTATATTGTGTTACACATACAAGTTCACATACAAGTTTAAAAAAAAAGCTTTTGTAAAAAATGTCATTTTGGCACTCAAAAATAATTCTATATAATCTTAAACAACAATATCATCACTTAACAAAGTTACATACACTTAGGAATTTTATTTTTTGGGAATTGACAACCTGATTATGGGGATGAGAAAATCCTTTTTTAATGGTTGAATGTCTAGTTTAATACTTTGAAATTTTTTAAAATGCAGTGCCAATTTAACAGATCTTTATTCAAACAAATGTCTTTGTTACAGACATATTTATAGAAATACTTCCTTTGTAAAAGTTAAAAATTTGTGATATGCTTGCTTTGAGAATATAAACAATTTATTTTGTTCGACATTATTAACTTAAGATTCGCCAGAGATTACTTATGGTTCAGGTTGCCAATACCCGTCACAATCTGACAAATATTGGAACTTTATTTAAGCGATTATCAAATCGGTGTTGCTATCGTTAGTCACTAGCTGCACCAGGCTTCCGTTTGTGGGACGCTCTTTTCCAGTGGCCCAGTTGAACAAAAGCCTAAAAATAAATTACATTCTTATTATTCTTTCTTTAAATAACAGTTTTAGTTTTATTATATAAAACTGAATATATATCAAAAGTACAGGTATACCTCGCCTTACATCGGTAATTGGTTCCAGGAGAGGTGACGTAAGTCATATTTACTTGTCTCCAAATCTACTTGTCATTAGGCTAAACCATAAATTACCATTCCCGGTTCTGTATTTTATTTATTAATGCATTTTTAATAATATATGGTTAATAATGGTCTATTTTAAGCTTACAAACAAATAAATTTTAGTTTTTAATACAGTACAGAAAAAAGTAATCTAAATTTACAAATGCATGTAATGTAAATACAGTACAAACTGTAAATGTATATATTTTAATATGATTTTATGTGCTTTAAACGTTTTTCTAGTGATATTACGACTTCAATATTTGTGGCGGACAGACGTAAAGTCGAATAAAATGACTTAAACTTGATTTTTAATTTTCCATATACTTTTTGACAAACGACGTATAATCGGAAACGATGTAACTCGAAACGATGTAAGTCGAGATACAGCTGTATAATGTGGATATGGAAGACGTTTTTATAGGATAGTTCTTTGTATTTACAAGGATCTGATATGTTAAACATTTCATGGAAGAATACAGAAGCACAATGGATATTGTACTTTTTAGCAAAATAATTAGATTTTCATTTGGCCACCAAAGAGCCTTTAGTGCCAACTTCATATAGTTTGCATGGCAGTATAGAAACAAATTTTGGCAGTATAGAAACAATTGCAGTATAGAAACAATTGCAGTATAGGCAGTATAGAAACAATTGCAATTACAACATTCTGCGCAATAGCAAAGACAACATAGACGAAAGGTATGCACCGGGAGTGTATTCTGTCCCGTTAAGAGACCATAGATTTCAAAGGGATCTTATATATATTGGCTCCACCATACGCTCTCTGGATAAACGTATGCGCGAACACAAATATGACATTGAACACAACAGATGCACCACTGCCCTATCTACGTATGCTTCGACCCCTGGCATAAGTGCTAACTTGCAGAACGCGCAAATCATTAAAATGTCACACAGAAGAGAACACGTACGAACGCTAGAAACTTTGGAAATTTATAAAGCAGGATTACGTAATAGCTGTATCAACTATAAAGATGCTATTAATATTTCGGCAGCTTGGAGGTTTGCGTATGAAGCAGAATGCCCCCACAACTCTATGTAAGGTGTTATACATCGTTTACATGTATATGTAAAATAATATTTGTGAATATTTGGGTTCACGTAC